GATGACAGAAAGCTAGAGCTGCTGGTTCAGGTATGTTGCTGACTTAAAGTGACTTGTTATTCTTATACTAATAAATGAATGGCAATTTGTAAAGCAATGTGTATGGGACTTTCTTGTAGCAATGAATCACAGATAGTATCCACCTGACTCAAGTTCTCCTCAGCTCGATGGAATGTTTCAGGGTCTTTCTGTGTTATTTTGATTTTCCAACCAATAACTTGAACATTACTAAGTTCATTTTCACAGCTCCAAAAGCTTAATCTTTTGTTGCAGCCGACAGCTGCAAAGGCTTAAAAACCTGCTGTACACCACCTGCTGTACAGACCGTTAGTGGTTAGCTGACCAGTGTATAATAGTGGAACATTTAGCTGCCAAAGAGCTAGATATTTCCTTCAGGAGCTGGCAGAGACCAAAGAGCAGCTAAAACAGTGAACACTGGACTTACATGTGCCAGTGGCCAGAAAAACGGTTCCAAATAAATTATAATGTTCCAGCTTCCTCCCACAGTCCAGGTTGATTGGCGACTCTAAATTGCCCATAGGGGGTGAGTGTGGGTGTGTGTGGCGGTTTGTCTGCATGTCAGCCCTGCAAAAGCCCAGCGACCTCTCCAGGGTGGACTCCACCTCTTGCCCAATGTCAGCTGGGATTGGCTCTAGGCCCCCTGCAACCCTATTCAGGATTAAGGGGCATAGATAATGGACGGATGGATGTTATATAGACTAGGTTTTCCAGTGATATTGCATGACAGATGGGCTATGTTTCCAGTGGAAAGATTTGACCTTTTTTTTAATTAATTTAATCTATCAGATTCACTCAAACTATATGATGGTTAAACACCTTTCAGCAGTGTGACCTGAGTATCTGCTCTGAGGTGTCCTTGAGCACAGCACCACATACGTACGGGCACAGTGCCATGCTGGTCTCTGTTTGACCTCATAGTCTGACTTCTCTTGGAAATAAAGGAGGCAACAGAAAATAAAACAATTTCCAATTCATGAAACATTTATCAACAAAATTGCCTCTAAATCTTCCCTCACAGCCAAAGCTGCTGTCGTACGAACTCCTTGACTTGGTGTCCTCCCACTTCAACCTCAAAGAGAAGGAATTCTTTGGACTTGCTTTTTATGATGACAAGTATGTAAATAGTTCCATTTATTGTTGCAGTGTTATGCATAATTCTAAAGTGTGTGTGTACAAAAACCCACTTTCTGAGTCTGTTTGATTTTGCAGCGGTCAGCGTAAGTGGCTGCAGATGGACCGCAGAGTTCTTGAACATGACTTTTCGAAGAAGCCTGGGCCCATCGCCCTCAACTTCCTGGTCAGGTGATAATTCATCTTTTCATGCTAAGCGCTCCAGCACGGAGTTGATACAGAGTATGACAGAACATATAAGTTCAACTGAATACCCCAGATAGTTCCCTATCTTGATTCTCTTGCATATTAATGCATCAACCTAGTGGCAGTGTTTTGGTGTTTTTCAGATTATGGCACATCATCATACACCATCACTCACCCACACCTCACACATCTTACAAAGGCAAAGACATGCTTAAACCGTGTATTTCCTATAAGAAGTAATAACAAAGGAACGTTATCTCAGTTTAAACCTTAATTTGTCGTGTATGTGTGTGCTTTTATTTTTCAACTTCATAGGTTTTATGTAGAAAACATAACTCAGCTTAAGGACATCATAACAGTGGAATTATTCTTCCTGAATGCAAAATCTGCTGTCTGCAGTGTAAGTGTTTTTTCTCTTGTTTTTCTGTGGTTTGAAGCAATGATCCTGCTGTAGTTATGTTTTTTCTCAGCAGCTCCCTGATGATTCACTGTCTCTAGAGCCTTGCAGCACCTCAGCTCAGGAGACAATGGCTGCAAGGCACAGTTACTGTATCTTATTCTGCTGGCTGGAATGTAAAGCAGATAGTCTAAGAAAGTAGGGGGAAAACACAAGGGTTCATGTGGAGAGGTTACTGTAGGGCAACACGGAGAAGATTCTGTTTGAATCTAGAAACCTTTTTCTGCATGGACCACATTTTCTGCATCTTATTTTTTTACCCTGTTGATCTATTTTGTCTCTCAGGGGATTATCGAAGTGGAAAGTGAGAATGTCTTCAAATTAGCTGCAAATGCTTTGCAGGTTAGTGCTTTTAATAGTCTCGTTTACATACATTAAATGCTGCATCTAAACAATTTAAATTAATATGTATTTCTATCACCAGGAGGCTAAGGGAGACTACACAAGGTAAGAGCACATTATCAGCTAGGTAAGATGTTTTAACAGCAGCTTGACAAGGTAAAAATGAGCTTTTAGCGAAGACATTCAATAGGCCACTTGTTTCTTCAGCGTGCAGACAACAAAAATCAATAGCTGTTTTATGAGAGGTTCGCCACAGAGTGCTGAGAAGCTTGCACCAGGCAACTAATGAATCTCATGGTGTTGAAAGAAGCCAAGTATTGTGGCACTGAAGAAAAGCAGAGAGCAGCTATTAGCCATGTTTAACAGAGCTGTGTTTCGATATTAAACTTGTAGTGTTGTGATGAAACACTCCAGGTCTTTGTGCAGGTAGCCACCTGGCTCTGACCACCTGGAGAAGTGTGATGGTTAAGGAAGGCAAACGTCTTTGTTCAGTTAATACCTTCTTGTCACTGTCGCTTTCAGCACGTGAGGACATGGGGGTCATGTCATCTGTAATTTTAGCAGCGTCATGGGATTGTGGAGAATTTAAAGTTTACAATGTGTTTGCTTGTGTCTCGAGGGGTGGGTGGGAGAGTTCAGGGGACTTGGATTCATAATCTCAAGCTCAAGCTGTGACGATGGAAGCTGAAACAACTTGAAGCCAAGAGCTGAATAAAATAATCATTGCACTGTATGTGTCAGGATTGTAGATTAAACTTCCAAAACTGTTGCCACAATTACTTTTTATATTGTTTTCAGTGATGAAAACACTAGAGCTGACTTGAAGAAACTACCAACTCTTCCCACCAAAGTACTCAAGGAGCACCCATCACTTGCATACTGGTATGCCTAGAGGAAATGTTTGTAATAATGCCTACAATGTGTTCTGTGTCGTTCAGGCCTAGCGATGTAAAGTGGAAAACCTATCCTCGTTTTTAGTACATTTTTACATGCAGCAGCAAAACACATAAAAGAGCCCTCAAACTATCAAGCAGTAGTAAAAGGTTATCAGACAAGTAAAAAAAAAAAAAACTAAATTGATTGATAATATTGTTAAATAATTCAAATGAACCGTAAAAAGAAACACACACCTTTACTGTACCTAAGCCACGAATCATTTTATTTCACTCTTCTATTTATCATTAACGAGCTCATTTTATTTTTCAGTTCCTTCATTTTCCTGGCTTTTTTTTTTAACCTTGAACCACATAATAACATTACGCATTCCCTAAGATGAGCCTCTGTCGCAATAATGCAATGATGCAATCTGTCATCAGGCATTTCATTTCTAAATGAAGTGCGTTCTAAGAAAGGTCCCCGACCACTGTTATTATTTAATTAACTCTGTTTATATTTATTTATATAATTATATTTTTCACAATACTATTTGGTAAGTTACAGAGGTATGCAGAATGATGTGATCTGATAATGTACAGCTGAGGAGAAATGTGTCTTTTTAATGTGACATTGCAGTGAGGATCGGGTAATTGAATATTACAAAGAGCTGAAAGGAGTCTCCAGAGGACAGGCCATTGTGCAGTAAGTATTGGAAAGAAAAGTGTAATTAGAAAATGAATGTTATTAGGCTGGTAGTTCATTAATCTTCCTCTCACCTCTATTAGCCTTTCCCTCTCACTCCTTTTCTCATCATTTGATAGAAATCAATAGTTCCTCTCAAGTTGCAGTCCAGTGAATCAAACCGATTCACTGGCTAGAGATCCCAGTGCTGTCTTTTCACATTTCCAAGTTAAACCACATGCAGATGTTGAAAAGATCAGCTGGTGGTTTTAACAGAAACTGTTTTTGCTGCAGGTATTTGACATTAGTGGAATCATTGCCCACCTATGGCGTGCACTACTATGAAGTTAAAGTAAGTCTTCTGCTGTGATTAATGGAAAATGGCAGCTGTTACACCTGCCATTTAATCAAACATATTATGCAAGCTGTGTTTTTGTCTCACAGGATAAACAGGGGATCCCATGGTGGCTTGGCATCAGCTATAAGGGCATTGGCCAGTATGATCTGCAGGATAAATTAAAACCTCGAAAGGTAAACGGTCTTTGCAGCTCGGTCTTGAAGATGGCTACTGCCGCTTCTCTGCCTCGCTAATCTGGCTGTGGACAAGACAGCACAGGGCATACCCAAGGATAGCTGCTGTTGCACATAGCGCGGTGATTCACCAGCTCTAATTCATGCATCATGTGTTTCACTCTTAACAGCTTCAGCTGCTGCAGACGAGGCCAGACTTGAAAAACTGGAGCAACACCTCAGTTTAGTGAGCTCTGGAAGTTTGGCTCAATGAGTTTTGTATAAAGTAGATGAGAATCATACATTCATTATGAACCTGCTCATCTTGTTTGATTGGTGAGGTTGACATGAGAAACGCCTGTGTGAATGTAAGCTGCGACTTCAGTATGTGGATGCAGACATGCAACTCAACTCAGCTCAACTCAACTTTATTTATATAGCGCTTTACCACAGCACAGCTGACCAAAGCACTTAACATATCATTCAAATATAAAAACAACACATAAAAAGCTATAAACAATAATATAGACACTAACACTACAGACAGAGTCTCATTCCTGGCCAAACGCCAATGAATACAAGTGGGTCTTCAAATAAGACTTAAAAGTAGACAGG